ATCAGGTATGTATACGCTTTCTCTTCGACGTTACGTATCTGGGTCATCAAGTCATCGAACTTGCGAATCTGTCTTGCCTTTCTAGCCCTCCACATAAGATCATACAAATGCGCATCCTTAAACTTTGTATTTAAATTACTACGAACATGCCGAAGACAAAAGCGATGATAACCATGCGGTGGATGTCACCCAGAATCTACCTTGTTCACCGCAGCAAGGATTCCCTTGTGCCTATCAGAAATTAAACATATCTCTTCCCGTCTAAGAACAATCCACCGAAGGTAATGTAGGAAAAAAGTCCAACTAGACGTATTCTCCTATTCCACAATAGCAAATGCAATGGGAAACAACTGTTTATTAGCATCAAAAGTAGTCGCTACTAACAGCTTTCCCTTGTACTTTCCACGCAGAAATGTTCCTCAATACTGACAACAGGTCGACAATATTTAAACTCTTTAATGCTGGCCTTGAATGCCCAAAATACTTGTAAAAAACATTATATTCAGAAGATTCAGAGTTGTACTGCCACTTCACAATCGACCCAGGGTTATACTTCTTGATGACATCCAAAAACTTTGGTAACAAGTCATATGACGAGTCCCAATCACCGAAAATCTTAGCAATAGCTTTGTTCCCCGCAATCCATGCTTTATTATACCAAATATTATACTTGAACTTCTCTTTTATATTTTTCTGAATTGTCGACATTTTGGTTTGTGGTGTATCACCCACGACTCCTAGTATATTATGACAAATGAAGTCAGAGTCTAACTGCCGATGATCACGACTCATCCTGGGGTAGAAGCAAGTATGTGGTCCATCATATATCGTGATCTGAAACATTTTCAATTTTTTCTTAAAACAAGCACGCAGTCTCTAGGTGTAGTTAGGCTGCATGTACATGATGCACTGTACTGCCCACACCTTTGTGTTCGTATCTACCACCATAAAATCATGATTCAGCTTGATTGAATACCATTTAACAGCCCTAATCAATGAAACTTTGTCCTAAAAAATCATGCCTTTCTCTAACTCCATCTTCACCGGATCCCACAAATGTTGTTCAACTAACGGTACTAAGCTATCTGCTTTAGTATACTGACCAAATTCAATGGTGGTGAATGAGGAAGAGTAAGGCTTATGCAGCTCCACCACCTGCGCAGCCTCAAAGTCTTCGTCATTCTCATCTTCGTCATCCGCTCATCAATCATTACTTCCTCAAACTCTTCTTCTTCGTCGTCATCATCGGACACATCTGTACGATCATTGGCACACATTTCACCATATTCCCGGATAGGCATTTGTTGAATTATTGGTTGATGGACATCATCTTGATCACCCAACTCAATTCCTGCCTCGCCCATTTCAAAATTCTGACTGAATGAATTGTTGGCTGAGTTCCCACCGTATGTCGCGGTTCCAGTGCTTTGTTGTGTGTAAAAGTACTGCACAGACTCATCCATTACCTGCATCCCCATTGGATTTGAACATTCACCCGTCATGCCGGAAGTTGAAAATGTCAATGGACCCATCTCTCGCCTAAGCAACTCAGTGTAAGACATGACATTTGTTGTTATGCACCCTCCGGTCTGACTACTTCCTATGCCAGCATTTATGTACTCCGTCTCCACGTACAAAGCAACACTAGCAATGCTAGGGCTGTCAAGTACCACATTAACCACAGAAGTCACTAGTTCATCATTGACAATTTCTAGACCTACATATGTATTCATGTTTGGTCCTATTCCAAGTGTAAAAGATATCTACAAGTCAACTTCAACTTGGTATGCGTCTTGTCCAAACCCATTACAGTGTAAATTTTAGTCAATAACTCCGGAAGTTGTGTACTACTATTGATAACAATACCACCTTTGGGAGGACAACTGTATGATAAACCCTCCGAGCCATAACTCATTTGTCCACCCCAATATAGCAAAACGATAACTTATTTTCCTGCCATTTCAACAAGTTTTCCTTGAGGAATAAGTTCTAAATTCAGAAGAACCTGGGGATGGATAGAAACAATCGAGGAAAAACATATTCATATTCTAGCAGAGTCCCAACAATTGGTTTGACGTCTTAAACATGTTATCATGTATTGAATCACAAGTTAAACATGTTATCAAGCAGGCAAACAATGTAGCCGATTTTTTAGGCTAACAAGGAAGTAGAATATGCTTAATACGATAAAGTCACATTTCAGTATCGTATAGATGCTGAATTAGATAAGACATATTCAGGACGAATGAATGAGTACGTACTACAAGTGAGATTGAAGCAAACTGAAATTACAAGAAAGCAAAGATCCAATTCTCAAACAAATGAATGAATGAGTTTAGAACATAAGTTACAAAAGTATGAATGAGTTTTTAACAAAGGAATTACAAAGGAATGAATGAGTTTGTAACAACAGTTGAAAATGTCATACAAAGTTGAAAGTTGTTTACATAGTAGCACAAAGTCTAGGAGAAGAATCTACTGGTATGCATTTTGTTGTTTAGTTGGGATAATTCTTTTTTTTTTTGCCTTGAGAACTATGATTATATTGGTAACCCATGAAACATATTTTAGAGATAGGGGCCTAAGAAAGAGGGTACACATAGGTGAGAGATTGACCTCACTCTTGGCTATATGTGGTTGCGGGTTCCAATGTTATTATGTCCTCACCCCCCCCCCCCCCAAAAAAAAAAAAAAAATTATAATAATAATAAAGAAGGTAGTGGTGATGGTGGTGGTGGTGAGAATCGGTGGACTTGGAGTGGCAGGTGATGATCATTGTGTTGACCAAAACCAAAAAATTAACTTAATATCGAAAACGTACAATTGATATTTTATTTGAAAATGTAAAATTAACTTAACTAGAATGCAGGAAACATTAATTTTTTTTCAATTTAATTATTTTGACTTAGTCAAATAGAGGCGTGAGTTGGATAGATTGGATATTGGCATTGGTAAATCTCAAGGATATATGAGGGTTAAAAAATTCTTTTTAATGAAATTGTTAACGTCTGTTATACAAAAGGGGTGTGGATGTCAAACGTGTTCAAATGTTAAGGGGTCTCAGTATAATTTTTGAAATGTGAGGGGTGTCCTCGTCATGAAATCAAATGTCAGGGGGTGTGAGTATAATTTATACAATTGGGAACTTCTTGGCCAAGGATGCATGGATTCCAGCCACCGGAGTGTCCTTCACTTCTACCCTGTAACACACGGTTACACCTTTATTTTTTCAATAAGGAAAGTGGGTTATGTCAATTTTAGTTAGGATAATGACTTGCATGTGCTATAATTTTCATTAGTTTGTGACTTTATGTGTTGGCTTCTTGTTGTATAGTTTTTGTATATCAAGAGATGCATTCTATGAAAAGAGAAAATATATAGTTTTACTTATATTTTTGTGGTGGTTTGGGTGATTTAAATTAAAAATAATTTTAATAACCTCTATTTTTTTTTATCAAATGTCAGGTTAGAATTTTTTCATAAATAAATTCTTGAAAATTTTGGCTAATTCAAACTGTTTCCAGCTTCATACAAATTATAAATTAGTGAGTCCATAAGAATCAGATGACTCAGTACGTAGGTACAATAATCTATCACAAATTTGCTTGTCAACGTTATATTAGAAGTGTTCAACATATAACCTCACTGTGGGTTCTAACATAGTTTGTATTCTGATGTAAAACCTGATATTTGCCCTTTTGTAAACCAATTAATTTTCTTTTCCTTTTCATCTTTCTTTCTAAAACCTTAACATTAAACTACGTTGACCAATAGTTTTCGTTTCCTTTTAATGTTGTTTCAAACATGTATTTGGATGATTTTTGTGTGTAAGAGAGAGAGAGAGAGAAAGAGAGGGAGAGAGAGAGACCAATGTGTTTCACAACTTTAATTCACATGGAAAGAAGTCTCTTCTTGCGGTTAAGACTAACAAAAAAACACTTGCTCACAAGCCTAATGGAGTCGAACTTAATAATGTTCTTCAAACCTAACTGGTTTGGGATATCAAATTTATGTTATTAACATCCTCCTCCACTAATCAAAAAACAGTTGCACAGTGAGTATTAAAAAAAGCTATCCAAACAAATACAAAAATTTATTTCATTTGTATCTCAATCCCTTCACAATTGTAACTAACCACATACAACGATAAATTTGATGCACATTTTTACTCATATTTATAACCTTATCAAATTTGATTAAATAAAATGCCAAATTATCCCACACAGCCTAATTGAAATTTTTTCATATATACTACTCAATACCCAATTAAATAATCAACTCAATAATCTATAATCTATTTAATACTCAATTCACTAATCAACTCAATAATCAATAATCTATAATCTACTCAATACCCAACTCAATAACTCAATCAATAATCAACTCAATTCAATATCGGATATTTTCAATGAATTTCAATATTTCTATCATTTCATATAATTTCAATATTTTTCATTAAATAATCAAACAACTAGTTTAAATAATTTCAATATTTCTCACCTGCTGGAGGCTGTCAACGGTGCATGGAGATTTGGGGCTTTAGTGGTTGGGTGGGGCTGGGTGGGCGTGGGTGGACCTGCGTGGTCGTGGGTAGGGCTGGGTGGGCCTGCGATGGTGGTGGGTCTCTGCTGGTGGTGGTTCTTTGGTGTTCTTCTGCGCTGGTGGTTCTCCGATGCTACTCTGGTGGTTCTCCGATGGTGGCTTAGAGCTCAATTTCGGGGGAAAAAGAGAAAGAATAGGGGAAAGGCAAAAGCAGAGGGAGGAGGGAAAAAAATTGGGTTTTTGATTTGAGTTAAAAAAAAAAAAAAAGCGTCAGTTTGACTAACGTCTCCGATCCAACTTAAAAACGTCAGTTGGTCTGACGTTTTTAAGCTAAAGGCGTCAAACCAACTGACGCCTTTTGGCTTAAAAACGTGAGACCAACTCACGTTTTTAAATGACCTGGGTTTGGAAATATTTTTAAAACAATGGCTTAGTTAGAAATTTTTTTTAAAAATCCCATGGCATGGTCAAAAGCTCGTATTGCTCTCCACAAGGTCACACCCATGGGCGGGGCACCAACCGTCTTGAACATGATTGCGAATTCGCCACCAAGCGACCAAAGGCCACTTTCTGACAAGGTTGAAATCATGACAGGTGGTGCACCACCTCCTCCACAGATCCTTTACAAGATGGAGGAGCTAGATTTTAGAGTATCCCATTTGTATGGACTTACGGAGACTTATGGTCCTGGAACACATTGCTCATGGAAGCCTGAGTGGGATTCTTTGCCTCCAGATGAACGATTAAAGCTCAAAACACGACAAGGGGTGCACCACCTAGGTTTGGAAGAAGTTGACGTAAGAGATTCTGCCACCATGGAAAGTGTGCCAACTGATGGTAAGACGACGGGTGAAGTTATGTTCAGAGGAAATACTGTAATGAGTGGATATTATAAAGATTTGAAATCAACAGAAGAAGCTTTCAGGGATTTATGGTTTCGAAGTGGTGATCTTGCCGTGAAACATCCTGATGGCTATATTGAAAGTAAAGGATCGCTTGAAAGACGTTATAATCTCTGGGGTGAGAATATAAGCACTGTGGAGGTAGAAACAGTGGTGTATAGTCATCCAGCAGTTCTTGAGGCTGCGGTAGTTGCACGACCGGATAATCACTGGGGCAGACGCCTTGTGCATTTGTAAAGTTGAAGGAGGGATTTAATGTTGATGCTGAAGAAATAATCAAGTTTTGTCGTGATCATTTGCCTCATTATATGGCACCTCGGACAGTCATTTTCGATGATCTGCCAAGAACTTCAACTGGCAAGGTTCAGAAATTTATCCTGAGGGAGAAAGCAGAGGCCTTGGGCAGCCTTTCTTGAGCAGAGAATTAGGGCCCCCAGCATGTTTCCTAGAAAGGTAAGAGGCTGAAATCTCATATTTCACGCTATATCCTTCAAGGTTCCTTTGGTTTTGCTACAATGCTGATACAATGGATGGCAACTGCTTGGATTTTTTCACGATGTCTAGGCAAATTGGCATCTAAAACAAGAGATCAAGACTACAAAAATTCCATTTTTACTTTGGCTTTTGTTCTAGTCAAGAAGAAAGATTGATGAAATGTTTTCAACCTCAACTATTTTTTCTGGTTTTGGTTAGTACTTACAACTTACTCCTCTTTGTAGTTTGCAGACTAACCATATTTTATTGTCATTATATTTATTGTTATTGTTCTTCTATTACCATGTGTTCTCGAAATATAATTGCTGAAATAGCAAATGGCTAGAGAAGTTGGTTGCGAAGCATTTTGTTATGGAATCATTCCCGCAATTTTTTTTTCTTGATTGCAGATGAACCAAGAAAATAAGTTGATGGTCTGTGCTTGTCACCTTAATTTCAGATGTGTTGAAATTGTCTTTCTTTTTACTAAACAAATGTAATTCACCAAAAAACTCGAGAAAAAAAAAAAGTTACCCAAGCAGTGAATATTGCTGGCGTATGAGAATAACGAGAGTTATTGGCCCCTTGTACCTCCGCAGACAGCATAGAATACAAATTCTCTAATAAACTCTTCCTTCATATCCGAATTAAGCTAAGTTATATCATATTATTCGCTAGTTTCACGCTTCTATTGGATTTTCAGTCTCATTCATCTTGTACAGTGTTGTGTAATCACTCAAAACACAATATTGATACGCAATGTAAAGCAGTCATTAGATATTATTCTGTTTGCCATGTTCCCTTAATAATGGAATTTAGATTTCTGTTGAAGGTTCCATCCATCATCTACAATTCAGCTACTGATAAAGTAAAAACAGAAAGAAAAACTGTTACAGTAGAAACTATTACACTGATCATCACCCCACTGAGGTGGATGGAGGTGCTTCTTGGTCATGCAATGGCAACAGCAGGATATCGAGTCAGATTGAGGCGGAGAATATATGAATTTGCAACGGAACCACAATACAAATGGTCCTTGATCTTGATCCCACTGGAAATCATTGACAACGCAGGATCATAATAGTGAGCAATCGGATTTCCTTGCAAATCAACAGCGAAAGCCCCAGCATTTTTCCCCATATGTGGTCGTCCTATGTACCTCAATATGATGGCCATAACCTTCCGGAAGAAAGGATATTTCTGTCCCAGACTCCAAATATATGTGGGTTCCTGCCAAATTTTCACAAAAGATGGAGATGCAAAGAGGATGTTACTGGACACATTCAATACTATTAGTATTTTAAGATACTTTTGATTGATACATTTCCCATAATGTTGTAGTGGGTGTGTTGGGCAATACTGGACTAGCCAAGCACATAGTTTACCTCATGGCTTATCACTTTCTATCTTCAATTAGAAAATCTAAAGCAGAGTTGTTGGATTTCATAGGTTTTCCTTTGACAAAATGAAGCTCATCAAGAAAAACTTCGCAGAGAATAGAATGTTGCAGATCAATGATTTGTATGAAGTGACTTACTGAGAAGATTGCAATCCAGTAGTGACCTTCTCCGTCAAATCGAATGTTGTCGGGCATGCCGGGCAAATTATCTACAAACATATCTACAGATCCTTTTGTTTCACCATGTAAGTAGTATTTCTTGCACCTTCTCCTGCAATTTCAATGCAATACAATAAAGTCTTCCAACAACACTAACTACTATCCAGAATTTGTTTACGAGGTTGAGTCGCGGAAAAAACTTCTCCAGATGTGAGGTAAGACTGCGTATATGTGACTCTCCTACACTCCCCGTAATGCTAGAATTTTTGTTCATTGAGCTACCCTTTCATCAAAATGGCAACTTACACACGGAACACCTAAATCTCTATTGGATTGAGTTTCAAATTGCCCCAGTGCTTAACCTTTGTTCTGTTTTTCATGACAAATCATCCAAGTGTAGAATTATACAATGTTAGGAGATGTGTGTGTGTGTTTTTTTTAAATAAATTCCCTATTTTGCTAAGAAAAATAAGAAAAGAGTTAACGGTTGGATAATGTAAAACTCAAACTAACAATGTAAAATGAAATATAAGAAAAGGGAGAGCTTAGGTATAATGTGAAATGAGAGGCATAGGCCAAGGGTATAGGTGTAATTTACTCTTTCAAAATAGAAACATACTTTAACCATAAACACATTATTAAAAAGTTTGTTTGTAAAATCTCACGGTAGCTCAAGTAGTAATAATAATAAGTTGAAAATTCAAATATTCTGAATTCAAATCTTGACAATTTTTTGGGGTCAGATCATCTGGGATTTAATTCCCATGAATACCTTAATCTCAACATGGATGACCAACTTTTGAGTAGACCGAGTAGATAATTAATTAAGGTACGTATAAATTGACCCGAACACCACTTACGGTTGAAAAAAAAAAAAAAGCTTGTGAGTGGCAGTGACATACATTGGGGTTTCACAGAAGACCACAAAGTTCTGGTCTGGTGAGACTACAACTCCATTAGCAAAGTATAGGTCCCGGACCAGTACTGTGGTGTGTTGAGTTGTTGGATCATATCTCATTAATCTACCGTGAGGCCTACCCTCCAATAAGTCCCACACAGCCTCACTATTGCTGTATTTATATGAAGCATCTGTGAAATACATCATGCCATCGTGTGCTATGTCAACGGCATCCGTTAGTCGGAATTTTAGGCCGTCGGCCTCGTCTGTCAACAGCTCCGGCACACCATCTGCGGCTACTTTCAGTAATCCCTGCAAGAGATGAGAGAGTGTACTGGTGCATGAATAATAATTGACACTCAATAGATTACCCAACCAATAGTTGAAGATTATGGTATCAACTATTGACTTGAATAGTAATGACATATTTCATGAAACACAAAATAATTTCGTGCAAGATTAAGAGTCGAGTGTGTGTGATAAAGTGTAATTAATAGATAATAAATAAAATAATCAACGATAGTAATATAAATATTGAGTCAACACACAAATATATAATAGTTCGGTGTAATTAATAGATAATAAATAAAATAATCAACAATAATAATATAAATATTGAATCAACACACAAATATATAATAGTTCGGTGCGCGTGATCTACTCCACTATAAAAAAAGACAACGGAGGCCGAGAGTATCAGAAAGTAATGGTTAGGTTTGGCAGATGTACAATAGTCAGGTGAGTGAAAAATTATGTGTGCATAGAGAGATATACCGGTAGAGTTTAATGTGTTCTTTCATGTAGAGAGAACTTATAATTTATAATCATTGAATTTTTTTGAGGCGGCGACGTGAGAATAAAGACACTAGTTTATCGGGAGAAAAATTAAAAAAAATAAGTACAATTAAGATAACTTTGATTTTCAAAAGTGTGTATTCTAATGATCTATCTTCACGTGCTCTTTTCCTTTTAAACTCCTTGAAACTTGAGCTGAGTCGAATTGATTAATTGAATTTGACCCACCTTTTAGCTGACTAGAGATTCATGCCTCGTAGAGGTGTTGTGGAATGGTTCTGATCGGTTTAGCGACGATGACTCAAATTACTCAAGTTTAACTTGGAGATGTATTGAATACCTTAGCCAATTAGCAAAAGACTCGTGATTTACACTTAGGTATTGGATCAAAAGATGCTGATCCACTTAAAGAAAAGTATACCGGAAACTCTTCATATTGATTGTGAATTTTGATGAAATAATATTGGGTTAATACGTGTGAAACACTACATAAATTTTTTGAATTTTTCATCGGATTCGATTTTGAACACATTAAAATCCGATCCGTTAAAAACCTTGAGTACTACTAACCTTATCAGCATCGGCAATAACAACTTCATCATGGTGTCCAAGAACGATTCCCAGAGGTCTCCCACCGGTGTTAACCCAGTTCTCCACCACTGTGTCAGCCGCTGACTCGTTCACCGTGACTCGCTTGACCCACCCATCAACACAACCAGTGTATATCAACCCCGACTTTGGGTCATAAGCAACATCTTCTGGACCCAACAACTGTCCAACCCCAATCTTCTCTGAACCATGGAGCATGCGAGGGTTACGCCTTGGCACAACCATGGGCTTCTGATGAGTCAACTCGTGGGCCGGAAGAGGAGCAGGGTCGAAGGAGTCGAGTTGGTAGACGAGCACTGCCATGGTAACTGGGACTAACAACCATAACAAAATTGTGAATGGCCATGAGTTTGTTCTGGTTCTAGCAATGGTGGAAGAAGGGTTTGTTGAGAGAGATGAAGATGATTTGGACCTCGAGTCGGCCATTGTTGGCGTTCTTAGTGACTCACTGAGCTTATAACAAAAGAAAATGATTTAATCCAACACTGTCCATTTGGTCATCATATCAGCCCTTTAATGTTAAATTATATATAAAATCCTCATTTGAGTTAAATTACAAAGTTTTCTTGTCCAATATGAATTTATCCTACGGTGCACAATGATCCTCGGGCGGAGCTCCTCTGTTGACTAAAAACAGTAGAGTGTGCTGTCAAACAAAATGCTGACATTTTGTTTGATGTGGCCCATGGTGAGAATTTTTTGTTAATCAGAAGATTAAGTCCACCTCCGTAAAATATTTGAAACAGATTTTTTATTATCAAATTCAAATTTTGCATCAATCATCTCAATTAACACTTGATCTTATCCATTGTATTGTGATTATTTTGTTTCTTATTTTTTATCTTCTTTTTATATTTCAAAACTCATGTAATCTTATCAATTTAAGATACATATAAATATAGCAACAAATGAATTGTTTTGGCATTGAGGCTAGAACACTTTTATTATATCTTTCATGGTATCAGAACTACTTTGCTCTTGCATTTGATCGATCCTCCTTTTTTTAATGGCTATCTCATCCTCTACCTTTGTTGCTCCCAATCTTAGTCATCTTGGTTCGGCTAAGTTGGATGAGACTAACT